GGGTGGGAGAAGGGAAACAAGGTCTTAGATCGTCTATGATTTTTTTAAAAATTCTGCACTTTGACAGTGGTGGCGAAATACACTAATCCAAAAGTGATATTTCTGTTGATGGAGGTGGATTTTTTTTTTCCTTTTGATTCCAACCTTTCTCCCCGTGACAAAGCATAAATCATGGAGACCAGAAAATAAGGTGGACCTCAGGAATCCTGAAAAGACTGAGAAGCTTACATTCTTCCTCTGGAGGGAAGGGTGGGGTGTTTTTAGCCCTCTCTGGAACCTAAAACGAAAACATGAGTTGCGTGCCATGGAAAGGAGACAAGGCCAAATCTGAATCTTTGGAGCTGCCTCAGGCAGCACCCCCACAAATCTACCATGAGAAACAGCGCAGGGAGCTTTGTGCCCTGCATGCCCTCAATAACGTCTTCCAGGACAGCAATGCTTTCACCCGGGAAACGCTGCAAGAGATTTTCCAGAGGTAGGGGACCTTCTCCTTGGCATTTTTACACTGTTTGCTATTTATGAATTTCTGTGGGTGGGGCAGTGTCTCAGCTACATAAACCTTCAAAGCAACAGGTATTATTAGCTAGATGTTAGCAGTTATAAGGGACACAGATGGGAAAAATAATCACCCTCGTTGATTGAGCACTTACTATATCAACAAGGCACAGTGCTAAAAGCCTCAGTTGTGTGATCCCCTCAACAATCCCATGGAATATGTGTTATTTCCATTTTACGGACATAGGCAGGGCTCAGAGAAGTTCAGTAATTTGCCTGAGGTAACGTGACAAGAGATGGAGCCGAGTTTGAATTCAGGTTTGTATCTGTGCCGTTGATCGCTATGTTGTAATGCCTCTCAAGTCCTGCCCCCGAGCGGTTACAGTCCCGAAGGGGGACGGGAGCTGTACACACTCAGTCACCTCTCCTCAGAGGTGGAATGCTGTGGGTTTTATAAGGAAGGTGCTCAGCTATACACAGTGCTCAGTTTGTGCAGCCATGTGCTGGCCGTGGTGCTTTTCATAGGTTGCTTTGTATAGCCCTCACCAGCAGTTATTTTACTGTCTCTCTTTTACTGATAGAGCAACAGGCAGAAAGGTCAGGTAGTTTGCCCAAATAGCTTCTAAGTAGCAAAGCTATGATTTGAAGCTGACTCTACATCTCTTCCCCGTTCTACTTCATTCTCGATGGCCTTTTATACCCACTTTGCTAAGTGCTGCCTGACAGGTTGATAGAAGTTCAGCCTTTTCTCTCTCTACTTTGATGTTCTAAAATTCTTTTTATCAGAGGGTTTGAGAATTGGTTCTCTAGTGTCTGGATGGACACAGCAACTCGTCTGCTCTGCTACTTCCTGAGTATTGGAAAAGGCATGTCAGAGCAATGGTATGATCCGTACCCGTTCACCCTGCTAGTAAGTTGGGCCTGGGTCTAAAGATACGGACTGTGATTATAAGCTGTTTGTGGATAATTGCTGTTTGCGGATAACTCTTTCAGTTAGTTGTGTTTTCCCTGAATGAAAGAATGCTAAATATTTGCTAAACACTCACATGGAACCAGAGTTCTATTCCTGGCTACTAAAGCTCTAGAAAATTTGTACTACGCTCCCCAGTTTCCTACCAGCGCAAGGTAAAGATCCATCTCAAAGTAATAGCAATAGCAAATATACTCAGCTTCCACTCCAGAGGCAGAATTCTATGTAGAGCATTTTGTATGGAAAAATTCAATGTGGATAGAAACAAGCATGAAAGGGATCAGAGAAAAGGGAGAAGAGGTGAGGAAGAGAAGAGGGAATTTTATAAACAAACATTTACTAGCGGCCTGCTGTGTGCCAAGCACTGCTAGGCACTGTAGAGAAAAGTTGAACAGGACTCAGCCGCTAAGTACATCCCAGGCTCTACATTGACCAGACCTTGAGAATAAACTTAGGTGAAGTTAGAACCCTGGAATTTAGAACTGTTTGAAAGGGAAAAGATGATCTGTTTGGATCTTAATGGAAAGAATAGTAATGTTGGCAGGTTAAACTAGATAATTTTAAATTCCCAGATACAAAGTTTTATGCTCTTTTGAAGATGGGGCTGATGAATGGGAGAAATGGGAGAAAAATTTTGATGAAGGCTCTTTGTTGAGAGGAAGTTCATCCTAGCAGTTGAATTTTAGCCAGATAAAAAAGGAGAAATACAAAAGCAGGGTGGAGTTTCAGTAGTTGTGGATATGAGATGACTCATGTTTGGAACAGAAATGAGTAGGAACTAAGAAAAAACTAAAGCCAGTGGCCCAGCAGCATGGGGATAGGGAATAGAGGAGTCAAGGTGGCAGAGTCTCAGTCCAGGATTTGAACATAGTGCTAAGAACCACAGTGATGGCAGAAGAGGTCACTGGTTTGAAAAGGATCTGTTTTCAACATGTGTGTGAAATTAGAGAAAAGCTCAAAAACTGGGCAGCTGTCATCGTGCACATATACAGATGTGGATATCTGATCTTGTACATCTCATCATATATGAGCCTGTGCTTTGAAAAAGGAAGGATTTAGAAGTCAAATGATGTAGTAGCAGCTTTGCTGAGTTGTTTGGAAAATCCTCAGTTTCAAACCATTTTCACCAGACTCATTTCAGTTGTTCAGTGATTAAATGTTCTTGCAGCTGGGTATGCACCCCACCCCCTGCAAAAAAAAAAAAAGTAGCTGTTAAAATCTAAATAGATGAAAACTAGGTTGGTACCACTCAAAAACTCTAATGCAAGCTGGACGGGACAAAGAATTTTAGATATTGGTGAACAACCAGCATTCTTCTACCAAGAGAAGTCTAACCCTCCCCATTAAAAGGTCCCTGAGCAAGTGAAAGGAGCCACATTTAAAGGTGTGGTGTTGGTAAATTGCTAAGTATAGAGTGTTAACCTCTAGAGATTGAAATCATTTTGTCCAAGGGCCAGGCAAACACATCATCATCATTGCCAGTACTTAAGAGTACATCGATGTGCCTGGCCCTGTGATCTGTGCTTTATATATTTAATAATTTAAAGACCCATCATGAAGTTCTGAGACATATTTTCTAAGGTCACATTTCTTCAGATGTGATAAGAAGGAAAATAATAATTAGGAGGGAAAAGGAATCTTTTTTTTTAAGATTTTATTTATTTGACAGAGAGATATAGCGAGAGATGGAACACAAGTAGGGGGAGTGGGAGAGGGAGAAACAGGCTTTCCGCTGAGCAGGGAGCCCAACGTGGGGCTCGATCCCAGGACCCCGGGATCATGACCCGAGCCAAAGGCAGATGCTTAACAACTGAGCCACCTAGGCGCCCTGAGAAAAGGAATCTTGGTGAATGTCTCCACACCTCCTTTTTGTTAAAATCTGAAATCCTCATCGTAGCCGGACACAGAAATAACCACAAGGGAGGACCAGGAACTCACCTGAGGGCATAGGCATTAGTGAGACCTGGCTAGAGCCCATTTTCTCACTTGGACATCATCACTTCAAATCCCATGGCTCTAACCTGTGGCTGTGACAACAGAAGTGAGAGGCTTGCTTTCTAGTCCAGACCTTCTATCCAAATCATGAAGACCATCCTGAACAGGAGTTTGCCAAGGAGTCTCAAGAAAAGAATCACAGAACAGGATGCCACGGAGTTCATTGGGACCCGTGTGTCAAACTATCCGGGAGACCATTGAGTGTATTAGGTGTAGGGGTTGGATCCTGGCTCTGTAGCCCTCACCAGCTGCACAGGGCTGTGCAAGTCACCGTAGCCACGCTGCATCTCAGCTTCCTTATTAACACTGTAGGATTAAGTTCTGTCTTAAGACTGTTGGAAGGATTAAGGGATAAAGCTCGTAAGAGTAGCTAACACAGTGGGCACCTGGTTATGGTTAAATAGAAACAAGTACTGGTATAATGGCCCACTGGGCGGACCCCACTTATTCAAATGACCACTCTAGGAATGAGATGGAGGCCATTCTCTGCATTCCCTGTAGTGATATCATCTAGGCCAGCGCGTGTTTATTCAGTTGCCACTGCTTTGCCGTGAGGGCTGCAGAGTAGAAGAGCCATCCCCTGTGCTTCGGGAATTTGCTATTTGGTTGGACACTTATAAGATAATGGAATTCTTGGGCGCCTGGGTGGCTCAGTTGGTTAAGTGACTGCCTTCGGCTCAGGTCATGATCCTGGAGTCCCGGGATCGAGTCCCACGTCAGGCTCCCTGCTTGGCGGGGGGTCTGCTTCTCCCTCTGACCCTCCCCCCTCTCATGCACACGCGCTCTCTCTCTCTTTCATTCTCTCTCTCAAATAAATAAAAAATAAAATCTTTAAAAAAAAAGATAATGGATTCTTCAATGGTCTTGTAAGATGGGGATTATTCCCATTGTTGCAGATAAGCCAACAGGCACAGAGATTAAATCACACAGTTAGTATTGGTGCTGCTTGCTAGGATACTGTGTGGTCCTCCCCATCTCCCTGTATTTTCTACACAGAAGCCAGGAAAGATTCCATGGAAGAAGTAGGATGTGACATTGACCTTGAAGAAGCTTTAGGATTTGGCTTGGAACAGGAAACAGGATGAAAGAATAGAGGCCACATGGTCGTGGTGTCTGAAGTGCACTAAAAGGGGCACCTGGGTGGCTCATTCGTTAAGCGTCTGCCTTCGGGTCAGGTCAGTCCCAGGGTCCTGGGATTGAGCCCCACATCGGGCTCCCTGCTCGGCGGGAAGCCTGCTTCTCCCTCTCCCACTCCCCCTGCTTGTGTTCTCTCTCTCGCTGTGTCTCTCTCTATCAAATAAATAAATAAAATCTTAAAAAAAAAAAAATGAAGTGCACTAAAAGCCCAAGGAGAGGGGAACGGCAGGCTCAGTAGGGCCAGGAGGGTTGAAGTTAGCCAGTGGGCAGTTGGCTCCAGTGGCAGTTCTTACATGAGAGAGTGAAATGATAACTTGTGAATGTGGCAGGAACATTTAGGTGACTTGGTGGAAGGGGAGTTTGGGAACAAGATCATTTTATTTTATTTATTTTTTAAAGATTTTATTTATTTGACCGAGAGCGAGAGAGGGAACACAAGCAGTGGGAGAGGGAGAAGCAGGCTTCCTGCTGAGCAGGGAGCCCGATGCGGGGCTTGATACTAGGACCCTGAGATCATGACTTGAGCTGAAGGCAGATGCTTAACAACTGAGCCACCCAGGCACCCCAAGGAGATCACTTTAGCAACCTGTTTCAAAAGCCCAGATATGGGGCAAGGAAGCTCCAGCTAGGGGAGAGCAAATGGGAATAGACAGGAGAGGGTTGGAATCTGAGATAGAAGATGTGGGACATGGAGAGGAGACCCTGGGAACACTCCTGTACGGTGCACGTCAAAAAAAATAGTCGTGGGCGCCTGGGTGGCTCAGTTGGTTAAGCGACTGCCTTCGGCTCAGGTCATGATCCTGGAGTCCCAGGATCGAGCCCCACATCGGGCTCCCTGCTCAGCGGGGAGTCTGCTTCTCCCTCTGATCCTCCCCCCT